GAGCTCTTCTCTTTTGTCTGTGCGGGGCAACCTTAGGATCAATTTTCAAGCGGTGGCAACTAACCTTGGGGTCTATGCCTACCATGTCCTCATGCCTCTAAGCAAAGATATCAAGGTTCCTACTTAGGAAATCCTTGATCTTTTCTTTCAAAATGTTGGACAAGCCTTTGCCCACTTTCAACAATTTGGATGGGTCTCGGGGGTCCATCAAGAAGCTCTCAAGTTCCTCAACTGGGGATACTTAAGGTTCATGTTCAATTATGCGGGGGCCAATCTCATCGATGACCAATACTTCCGGAATGGGTGGTGCGTCGATCATTTCTACATCTTCCAGTTCGGAGGGAGCATCACCTAGGACATCAGCCATGACTATGTCGACGATAATCACATGGACGTCCCAGGGCTCTACCTCTCTGATAGAGCTTAGATAACACTCTCTTGAGCCTCTTTAGTCGCCTCTCATCGTTGCCATCCCGTTTTTCGTTGGGAATTTCATGCATAGGTGGTGGATGGAGGTGACAGCTCTCAATTCCTTTAGAGCTGGCCTACCGAATACTCTATGGTAGGCCGATCGACTATCAACAATGAGGAACTCCATGAAGTTCATTGTAGTTTGGGAGACTCCCATCTCCACTGCAAGGGTGATCTTTCCTCTCGGAGTGATGCTATCTCTACTAAATCCGTACAAGGGAGTGAAGGTTGGCGTCAACTCATGATCCAGTATCATCTTGTCGAAGGTGGACCCGAATAGAATGTTAACGGAGTTACCGTTGTCAACTAACATTCGTTTGAGCCCATTCCGGGCTATGACCGCTTTCATCACAAGTGCATCGTAGTGGGGGGTAGTGAACTCCTTCAGCGTCCTCCTGGATAAAGACAATAGGTGGAACTTGATTCCTCCGGGAGCTCTGGTCCATAATATAGCTGGTCAGCGGGGGGTGCTTAGCCTCACGGACGTAATTCGTTTTAGCGTTCCGCGTTTCACTGCCCACATATGGGCCTCCAAATATGGTATCCACCTCGTGGATAGGGGCCTCATCCTGAGTTTTCCGATTTCTTAGGTATCTACACCCTTCCCTGGGCCTCTCTGCATCGTGCTCCCTTCATCGCGGGGAAACATCCCTTTGACGGGGAGCGGCCTCTTCACACCCAGGTCGATTGTCATACCTATGTGGGGGCCTGTTCACCTGGGGCTATTCATTTCTATCCCTGGGGGTTCTTGCTGGGTAAGTTGAGCATAGTCTCGACAATTTGCTGTGTCGTGGCCATAGGACTGTTGGTATATGCAGTATCTGGGGAGGTTCGGATTTGACCTATTTCTAGGTCCCGAACCCCGACCTCAGCCTCTCCCCCTATGGGATCCTTGCGGAGTTCCCACCTGCTGGGTGTCAGTGACTGGGTTGATATCCTCATATGCCAAGGTAGGAACTGCGTTCAGAGTAGTGGTGGCAAGTACTTGCTCAGAGCTCTCATTATCGACCTGGTTCATTTGGTAATCCATCAAGTGGGATGTCGGCCCTCTAGCACGTTGTCTTTGCGGAGGTGGGAGGCCTCTACTTGCCCTGTTCCTATGCTCAATCAATTCTTCATTGATAATCTCCTATCTCATCATCTCGAGTATGGCGTCATAGATGGTGGAGTCTTGATTTTGCATGTCCCTCCAAAACAGGGTGTTCATGTTCAGGCCTCCTCTCAGTGCAGATAATGCCTCACGGCTGGTGACTTATACATAGTACGTCATCTCATCAGTGAAGCATGATAGGAAGCTCTTCGAGGACTCTCCATGTACCTGTCTCATATCTTGGAGACGTTGGATGGGAGCTCTCCCTCTTTACTCACAGCGAACCTCTTCAAGAATGTGGTCTTGAATTCGGGCCAACTTTTTATGCTCCAAGGTGGTAACCTACTATACCAAATTTCAGCTGTTTCGCTAAGTGTTAAGTGGAAAGCTCTGCATTTCACAGTTGGGGTGGCAACCCTTAGGCTTATGTGAGTTTTGTAAACATTCAGGTACTTCTCTGGGTCGCCTCTTCCGTCATACTTTGATATCATGGGCATAACGTAGTGGTTCGGGACCTAGGCACTCCTTAGTTCCCTTGAGAAAGACAGGTTTTCATCATCATCGTCCAAGTCACAAGACCTCTGCCGTTCATCTGAATCGTTTTCATCGGCCTCATACCTTGGTGGTTGGTGAGAGGTGTCGGGACGGTTCCTAGCCTCCTCTTCCCTCCTTTGGCGCCTATTTCTAGGCGGTACAACACGGGGGGCATTTTCATGCCTTTCTTCCGGCTGTTGAGGCATTGGAGGTGGGGGCTGTGGCCTTGTCCAAGGCTCGCGAGGCTGTTGTTGCCTAGGCCTTAGTTCTGTAAGGCTTATTCTATCAAATACACTACCTGACCTCCTATGTCTTCGCTCTTGCTTATATGGAGGTAGGAAGTTATCATGGTTCAAAGGGACCTTGGTGGGTCGCCTAGAAGCGTAGTTGGAAGAAACATCAATTTTCACTTCCCTTTCAAATGGGCTTCTACCTCGGCTATAGTCCAGCAAGGCAACCCTCTGACTTTGAACTTCATTTTCTTGCTTGTAGTGCCCTTGAGGGGTGTATGGAGGAATATGGAAGCCTCCCTGGCCTTGCATTTGGGCCCTGAGTTCCCTCATAGCCATGTTCTGGCTAGCAATGTCCCTCATGTTGGCTATCATGGCAGCGAACTACATTTCACCCTTCTATTTTTTATTTTTTTTTGATATCCAGGTATCCCAGTTTACATTAGACTAAATCCTGAATTCCCAAGACCCTTACCCCTAGAACCTTGGAGGGGGTAAATCGAGAGTTATACCTCAACTGGATCACAGGTTCTACCCACCGCTTGTACACTTCTGCGCACAAGAGATCCTCTTCCAAAATGATTGCTCCATACCAAATAAATCTGGCAGCAGGTTCCCACCAAGATTCGAACCTCCACCCTGCCGCTGGAAGTAAGACAAATGTTGATTGATCCACCAGTTGAGCTGTGCCCCGGGGGGCTTCACCCTTCTATTTATGCATACTATGTGTTGTCTTTGATACTTGCACTTTGTAACGTTTGTCATTCTAAATCAAGTTCTTGCTTTTTGCTCTTATGGGTAAGGCAAATCAAATTTTGAAGTCGATGCTCTTGAACATTTGAGCGCATGTGTTCAATGCAGAGAGTACAATTGATTGAGCTTTTCTGCCAGAGGCGGAAAAAAAGAGAGAGAGAGAGAGAGAAGGAGAAAAAGATATCTAGGCCAAAATTCATTTCTTGTCAAATCTGTGTCCCTTAGTCATACTAAGCTACGATTTCCTGTTTTTATCATTTTCTAAACCTAGATTTTTAGATCGAATAAAGATGAAAACATAGACCAACTTATGAGGCTTTGAGTTACTCCTTTTAATAAGATTGACATTTTAAGATGGAATCCCAAATTTTAACATGATATCCGAGCCTATTAAGTTTTAACGAGCGATTCGATCCAATTAAGACTCAATAATTGAGCACTGGAATTTCAAAATTAGTTTGCTCAAATGAGCCATCATCTTGCAAGGGCATGTTAAGAGATATTATCCCTCATCAAATAAAGATGAAAACATAGACCAACTTGATAAGATTGACCTTTTAAAATGAAACCCCAAATTTTAACTGTGCGCACAACCCAACTGGCATTGATCCTACCCCGGATGCAGTCGCAAGGTATAACTGGTCAATTATTTGTATCTCCTCTATTCTTTGCTATAAAATTTAGTTGATGACTTGTGATAAGGGGAACTCTGTGAACGTTGTTTTATTCAAGTCTTTATGTGCTTTAAGAAAGTATCCAATCCAATAACAATGTTGATCAGAGGACTGTAATAAAGCACAGTATACTCTCCCTTGTCCAGTCGCAACTAAGAATTGAAAACATGACACCACAGTACGATTTCTCGTTAAACATGTTTTTACAGAAGAAGCAATGGACATATGGCTGAAAAGGCTTTGGCATAAGGAAGAATACATAGTTGAAAAAAAGGAGGCTGCACTATAAATGATCAGGTTTTGTTTCAACTCATTTACCAATATCCAACAAAACCCTCCCATTTGGCAATCCCCACTAGAAACAATTGGTGGCCACGAAAGAGAGTAACATTTGAAGTATCCTGCATTCTGCTTGTCTTAGCTTCTCCTACGTCTGTCAAGAGGGTATCTTCCTGGGTATTTCCAAGAACTTTGAAGTATCTATAATAATTGTCATTTAAATGGAATGCGTGTGAAATGTTTGTGGGAAGTCCAGAGCTTTCCAATGAACTGAAAAAGGAGATGGAAATGATGGCTGGAAGAATAAAGTGTCAGACAGAAACTGTATGATAGCCTCTGTGCAAAGGATAAGAGTGGGAAGGACTGGTAATTTATTCTCAAACAGATTGGTATGTTTTCCTTACTGAGAACATGACCAACAAGTGGCATGTTTACATGACGAAAGATGGGAGAATATCCTTAGCTGGACTATCTTCAGTCAAATGTGAGTACCTTGCAGATGCCATTGTTGATTCATACCACAATGTGAAGTAGAAGAAAAGATCATTAACTCCTGAGGTATTTTGATGAATTGATCACTTCAAATGTCGTTCTAAAGTGCCATTCAATTGTTTGTTCTATGTTAGATCTGTACAAAGAAATTTTGGGCATATATACTTTGTTCCTGCACATTTTTGAACCATCACCTGTGTTAAGATTGAATAAATAATGGGGACTATAGATATGGCTTCTTGAATGCAGGTCGACTTTATTACATTTTTCCAAATTGTCATTGAGAAGCTTGGTTTCTGAAAGATGTCCCCCATATGAAAAGGATGGGGACTGCAATAGTATGTGCAGGCTATTCATCAGCTTATACATAAAGTAAAAGGATTGAACCCCAATCTTGAGGGCCCTTACCGCCCCGCCCTTGGAGCATTGTGAAGAAGGTAAATCGCGAGATGTGCCCCAACAGGCCAGGGAACAAGATGGCAAATGGTTCAATGTTTGTTTCACAATTATATGTACAAGTGTCTTATATCGACATATATATTAAAGTAAAAAGTGCAATTGTACTTTTTTAAATTTACAAAATAAGAGTACCAAATCAATTAACTGCCCATCAAAAATAATCAAAAGTGTCTCATCTGGGGAACGAATGAATGATCCGTGCAGGCAGTGCAACTGAATAAAATAGCACTTGATAGAATCAGTTGGAAGGCTTTGGGATGAATGCAGGTGGCGCCAGTTTTACAAGTCTGAGCGTGCCACCAAGCTCCATGGGAACAAGGGGGATGAGAGAATGCAAAACATCTGTTATCAATGGTCGATAGCTTGGTTCTGGTTGAACGCATAACACAGCAACAGCAGCAACCTGCAAAGAGGATATCTAAGTATAGCACACAAATTCCATTTGCTGCAAATCCAATTCAACCAACATGAACATCCTAGGTTCACAAACCTGATATAGGTGCTTTAAATCCATTGTGTTTATGATGACAGGATCTACAATGTTTGGAAGCCTGGATCTATCGGTTAGTTGGGGCATCGCCTGCATTTCATTTATATATTGAGCTTTCTATTAAAAAGCTTATGGGACTTGTAGAAAACCAAGTGTTATGTGTTTAACAGCCAGGCCTACCCATGTGACAATAGATTGGCATTGAGATGGTGAAAGTTTCTCCACAGGCTTTCTTCCCAGTAGAAGCTCCAGTAAAACAATTCCAAATGCATAAACATCACTTTTATCTGTTAATTTACCTATATGGGAAAAAGGAAAGAGAGAACAAAATCACGATCGCCAAAATGAAACTAACAAGGCAAAGACACACCATTTGCCGAAACTTAATGGCCTGTTAATTTAAATTTAGAATTGTTCAATAAGATGAAAGACCCTCTAGTTCTCGATTCTGAAGTAGCCAATATGAGAAACATAATTTGCCGTCTGAAACATCAACATTTCCATGGAAGAAAAGAAACTAAGAAATTCGAGTGTCTGTACCATCTAAAAGGTACTCGGGGGCTACATAACCCAAAGTTCCTGAAAGTTTAACGTTGTTTCTATTCTGGGCCCCATCGGGCACAGCAAGACCAAAATCTGAAAGCTAAACAATGGAAGAAAACGAGAGGCTTAGTGAATTTCCATAATATGGAACTGATAATGTAAGTTAACAATAAAATAGTCAGAAAAGGATAGAAATAGATCAAAGACTAATAATTCTCTGGAGTTTTTACCTTGGCATTGAAGTTGGAATCCAAAAGAATATTAGATGATTTCAGATCTCTATGAATTATTGGTGGATGGCAGTAATCGTGCAAATATTCTAATCCTCTGGTCAAACAGTTGCAATATATCAATATCAAAATAAAAAATCAACGATCAGTATTAAATGTCCACATGGGATTGTCTGTTTATGTGCAAACTCACCTTGCTACATCAAGGGCAATTTTCATCCGAAGATTCCACGTTAATGCAGATCCACGCGAAGGTCCTAAAGACATTAAAGAAAACCAAGATGAAATTTTAGAACGTGCTTTATTTATTCTCCATCATCCACATCTGAATCTTATATGATTTTCTATTTCATTAAAATATTTTTACCGTGCAATTGAGTTTCCAGAGATCCATTCTGCATCAGTTCATAAACAATAAGCCTGGTTTCAGCGTGAACGCTACAACCCAACAAAGAAATTATGTTCGGGTGCTGAATATTGCTCAGCAACTCTACCTCAGTCTGAAAATTCAAGAACGAGTAATCAAGTTAGGATAGTGAGATCCGCAGTATAAATGGATAGAAGAACAAGCACAGACAAACTATCGAGATAATTGGTACCTCAAATTCTTTTATGGCATCTGAAGTTCTCCCTTCGAGTCTCTTCACAGCCACACACAAGTTCTCTTCTAACTTAGCCTTGTACACACATCCAAATCCTCCCATACCCAAGATTTCACTTTCACTGAAATTGTTAGTAGCCGATTCTAACACATTGTAGTCCATTGTAGTTGCAGCAGATCCCTTTCTATAACTTGTCTTGAAAGTATTGTATTTACCCAAGAACGGAAATGGAACTAATGCAAGCCCTTTTGCAACGTCTTGAAAGGAATCGAAAAACAGAAAAACCTCAGTGAAAGATCATGAAATTGAAAATTTAGAAAACATAAAAGAAAATAATCACAAAAGAGAGTACCTGAGCTATGACTCCTTTTCTCCTTGGATTTGTTTATATGCTTCCTATGATAAACCCAGAAACACAAAAGAAACAAAATGATTGCTCCCATAGCCGTGGAAGCAGCAATTAGAGCTACAAGAAGCTTCTTGTTTGAACCCATGCCGTGCTTTCCTCCTGCTTCAATACCTGATTACACAGTAGATTTACAGCTAAGAATTGACTCCTTGGACTACAAATATGACAATAATCACAATAATAAAGTAAGATTATATTGTTGAAGTCTGAAGACAGTAATAGTATAACAGAATTATAGAAGTTTTTCAGTGGCAAGAACAGAATTAAAGGGAGGGGAAGGGAAAAGGACCTATATATATCAATTATCACACAATGATAAATGGGTATCAAGAAAATACAACATTTTTATATATGCACATTAAATGCTTTGAAAATGGTGGCCATAAGTGAGTTTTTCAAATTTCATTAATTTGAAATAAGCCAAGAACGAGCTAAAGAAATATGACTAAGAAAAGTTTCGGGGGAAAAAAATGTAGTGAAGAAATTGTTAGTACCTGGAGAGAAGGCTGCCATTGATGAATAAACTGGAGAAATCTGTGGAGCTGTTATTGAAGAAAGATTATACATTCTTTTTTTCTTTTTCTTTTTTTTTTCACTTTGTTTCAAATTCTGATTCACCCTTTGTGTGTATTTTAAACGGACATGGAAAGGAAAAATAAAGTGACTTTTGAAGACAGTGCCTACGCATGAAAATTTTGGATTTTCTGTCTTTTAAGGTTTGAGTCTCTCTCTCTCTCTCTCTCTCTCGTTCACCCTAGAGGCAATGGCAGTGGGTGATCTGGAATATATTGGCAGTAGCCAAAAGAAGACAAAAGGCAAATACAGGATGAATTGAGTGGCTCGGTCCATGTGGGCAGGCCAACTATAACAAAGACTAACCATTTCATGTCATGGCTGCAACCACAGTCGAGTGATCAAATTTCAAGTGTAGTCATTGTTTGACTCTCTTTAAATTAAAATTCTTCATTTTTCATGCTCATTTTTTATTATTACTCATACAATAAAAAATTTTGTTCGTAAATCTAAAATTTTTCATACTTTTTAATAATTACACATTATCCAAAAAATCACTATTCAAAATATCATTTTCCCTTAGTTTCTTTGGCTATCAAATGGGAGCTTAGTGACAAGTACGAATAATATTATTGGTAGGCCGATAATTGATATAATTTCTTAAAGGAAGCAACAATTGATTTGATCCAATGCAAAATTCAATTATTTTATGATGTAGATTGGTTGCAATTGGGTATGACCTTTATAATAATAAAACTAAACATAAAAGAGAGAGAGAATGTTGAAATTAGGAAAGATCACTAATCAACTAACCTAAGTGGGATAACTTCCCAGCTAACCCGTTCTTTTCCATTTTTAAAGACTAAGAATTTATCACTTATAAATAACTATTGAGATTTTTTATTGGCCACCAAATTTGGAAGAAAATAGATTCAACCTTGCTTCTAAAACTCACGCTAAGGGTGACTATAGGGGCGGACCCACTAAGGGACGATTGGGGTCGGTCGGCCCCACTGAATTTTCGAAAACCTTCGATTCGACTTTGTTAAATTTAAATTTTCAGATTTTTTTTATTTTTTTTCACAATTTATTTTAGCTAATTTTCCATCTTACCCCCACTGAAAAATAATTCTAAGTCCGCCCCTAAGTGGACTATTGTGTTTTTGTAGTTGATTGGATGAACTATCTATTGCTAGCTAGTTTGAACCAAAAATGACAGCATAATTAAGCATAATTCGGTAAAATCAACATTTGTATTATGAGTGAGAAATTTATTCTAAAATTAAATTGAAATAAGGGGGATTTTTTTTTCAATCATGTTATGGGTACATTGCGATATCCAACGGGGTGTCCAAAATGGACAACCGACGCCTTGGCATTGGCTGAGGCGCCTGCCACGCCGGGGTCCACCGGCGGCCCGGCCAATACCGAGGCGCTAGGTGTCCATTTTGGACACCCCGTTGGACACCTCGGTGTACCACAAGCATTATTCTTTTTTTTTTTTCTTCCATTGTTTTTTATATTATTGGGTACTATTACTGTAATGTACCGAACCTTGTTGTACATGTTATGGACCGGATTCAGGGATTCCCGACTTTAATTTGGTAGGCGAGATATGCAATTATTGAAATTTGTTTGTCGGTTTTTATTTTATATATACATAAAGGATAAACGAGTTGATTATCTTGTTATTGTTTGGTTTTGGTAAAATTTATTTTGGGCCATTTGCAAAAATATCCAATTTTACATATATCAATTCAAAAATGTCCCATTTTGATAATTTTTGTAAAAATGGCCAAATTTGATATCAAATTCTCTATTTTAACCTTAATGAATTTTAACCTTAATGAAAGAATAAATAATTTCATATTGCCCATATCAAATCACAATTAATGCTAGACGCAAAAATGTCGAGAACAACATTTAAAGTGTAGAGAAATATCATATTTAGAATGAAATGTCATTCTAGACATTTAATATATCCAGAACAACGTTTGAAATGTCGAAAATATTTAATATTATGATTTGACATGTGTATTTTTGAGATATAAACGAATTCAAATATCGAGAATGATATTTAAAATGTCGAGAACATCATTTTAATGTAATTTCTCATGAAAGTTACTTAGAGGTACTCTCGTCCAAATAATTGCAAAAATAGACATTGAAAAATTTTGGACATTTTTGCAAATGACCGAGTCAAAATGGACATTTTTTTTGTAATTTCCTCATTTATTTTTAATAGATTTTGATAAAAACTGATTAAATACGTTATTGAAAAATTGATAAGAAGTTATGAATCTCATTAAACGTGATTAAAATTAATTATTGACTTTGACTTAAATTTTTATCCATTTTTTAGCAAAATCAAACAGGGATTTAGATTGAAATTCCTCTATTTCTTCTTTTTTTTTTTTCCCTTCTCCTTTTTATCCATAATCACATCATCGTATTCTTTTTTGTCATATTTGGCACAACGTGTAAAACGTATATGATGAAAATTATCCTGATACAATGCTTGAATTTTTTCTGGCTAGATAATTCCCTCATAGACACTTCTATGAATTTAACTCATTCAGTGAGTTGGATTTATGCCTTGATATTTGTTACTTGTAATTCAAGTGATTAATAATTGAAAAAATCCTTGTATGAACGAACTTATATAAAAATGATGAGTTAATTGTTCCACTAATCACTAAATTTAGGTTGGTATTTTCGATTGCTAGCTACACTTTAAGATATTGTATTTTGTTCACTAAACTTCTCAAAATGTTGGATATTACTTGTGGAAATCACTGTCATTTCGTATTTCTAATGGAATAGTTGACTTGGCGATGGATTTCACATATGGTGCCCTATCACCATTAGATGCACAATCACGAAAGATGGATGGTATACGTATGGAAGACATTTGATTGCCGGGTTATTCTTGGGTGACAATCCAAAGGGGCTTTAGCCTTGATTGCTCACTATACTATGATTGATTACTATGTTATAAGTTGATCGAGTTTCGACTAAACTTTTCAAACTGATGCCGGGATGATATGGAAACATGTGTTTTGTTTGTTTTCTATGTTTAATATTGTGTTATTATGTGTTTAGAAAGTTCTTTCCGGACTGAATATTTTATTGAGTTATTTCGCTAATGAAATTATTATCTTTTATTATAGTTGTCAAGTTGGTACTTTTGGAATTATATTGCAATTTATTAAGATTTTAACGTGTTTAAATGCGTCTGCTTGGTGATATACTTTTTTATATATTTGAATTTCATGGAATACAAAAATATATTTTCGCATTGTTACTCAATAATACTATATAATCTTCTACGCGCATAATAAAATAACATATTTGAAGAATGGTGTAAAATTTCAAATACCTATGTTTGGACGAAGTCACCGTAAGTGAAATAAAATAAAAGCATAGTTAGCATATTAAATAAAATTTAAGCAAAATTACCTGTAGCGAATGGTGATAGAATTTGATTTGATTGCATCCGATTATATATTCCATAAACGAAATATTTCAATAAAATGTTCAGTCTGAAAAGAATTTTTTAAATCCATAATAACACAACATTAAACACATAAAATAAACAAAAGTCATGTTCCCATATGATCCCAATGTCACTTTAAGAAGTTTAGTGACCAAAACTCAAGCAGCTCAAAGTGTAGTGAGCAATCGAAGATGCCTGTCCAAATATAGTGAGCAATCAAAGACGTCTTATTTATGTGAATTATCACTATTCTATGATTGGGCATCTAACATTGATAGAGTGCCATTTGTAAAGTCTGTCTGCCAAGTGAGCGATCCAGTTAGATACACAAAAAGAAAGTGATTCTAGTGAATAATGTCCAACGCTTTGAAATTTATTGACCAAAACTCGACATCTTAAATTGTAATGAGCACAGAGACGGATATAGGGGGGCTGGGCTGGGCTGTAGCCCCCCTCCCCCACGTCCAAGATTTTTTTTAAAGTATTTTTTATTTTTTTTGGGGGTAAAAAATCAGTTTTTTATGTGAAAATTTTTTTTCCACGTAGTAGCCCAGTTTGAAATTTTGTAGCCCGATCGTGGATCCAATCCTGGATCCGTCCCTGAATGAGCAATCGAATATATCAACATAAGTTTAGTGATTATTGGGATAATTAACTTTATAAAATGATTTAAGATAGATTCTTGGTTTGTTCACATAGGTGGTGTGTTGCGGTGACGATCTTTCAAACATGTGGTAAGGAACGTCTTATCTTGGTAGTGAGATTTTTCGAAAGTTTATGGAATAGGTTGTAAGTTATTGGTTCCGATTGGCGAATAAAGGGTAATTGGCACAAAACGTCTATCGAGTTGATTGTGGAAAACGTTCCTACCTTTCATTTTTTGACACTTTTACCCATATTTTCACCTTTCTTTGCACTGAACGTCATTTTTACCAATTTTTGACATAAAATGACCAAAATACCCTCCTATTTAACCAAAATAAAATAAAAAAAGAAAATTGCAACCATAGACCCAAATTTTTAAAAAGTACAAATGAGTCTAAATTTGAAAAAAAAAATGGTCACCTTCCTCACCCCCCACTACACAGCCCCTATGATTAATTTAAAAGTCCCACTAAAACAATATTTTCTCTATCTACTTGTCCTTAAATGGCAGGTTCTCTCTCATCTTCACTGCTTCTCTCTAGCAATGACTTCATTTTTCAAACTTTTTCCCTTATCCCGCAATGACTTCATTTTTCAAACTTTTTCCCTTATCCCAATCTCTAATTACGACTGATCTAGCTATAGCCTTCGATATTAGAAACCAACATCAAATAGCAGCCACGACGGTTCCACCGTCGTCACAGCTTCCTCAATCTACTGCTAACTCATCGACGGAATTTGACTCAGTTGATTTCGGCAGTGGAACAGAGGGCGGTAGTGGCAAAGGATCCGGGGCTGGAGATGAATCGGCACAGACGTTGAAGAGACCACAGCTTGTGTGGACGCCGCAACTGCACAAGAGGTTTGTGGATGCTGTGGCCCATTTGGGAATAAAAAATGTTGAGTTAAAAGTGCTGTGAATATTTAATAGTGAATTTCTTATCTATGCATCAGCTTCAGCTAGAAGATTATTTATATATTACAAAGGAATATTCTAGAATACACAGCTGTGATTTGTTCCTATATTCATGGAGGATGTTTGGAATCTGTTGTAACCGAAAGAATTATGGTGAAACAGAAAATTGATACAGCAAAGATAATCAACTGATGACTGTAGAATGAGTTGGATGCTGAGGTGTATATTAATTCTTAACACCCCCCTTCAAGCTGGATGGTACCAATGTAACTCCAAGCTTGTCCTTTAAGAAGAGAAATCTTGAGTGTGAGAGACCTTTAGTCAGCAAGTCTGCAACTTGATCAGATGATGGCACATATCTCACTTCTAATTCTCTTCCAAGAACTTTGTCTCTGATGAAATGAATGTCCAACTCAATGTGCTTTGTTCTTGCATGGTATACGGGATTTGCAGCTAAGGCCCCAGCACTCATGTTATCACACCATAAAACTGGAGTCGACACTTGTGGTAGTTCAAGTTCTTTAAACAGTGATTGAATCCAAGTAATTTTCGAGGCTGCTAACGCAAGAGCTCTGTATTCTGACTCGGTACTTGATCTGGCAACTACATGTTGTTTCTTTGATGACCAGGCTATTAGGTTATCTCCCAAGTAGATGCAATAGCCTCCTGTTGATCTCCTATCATCTGGACAAGAAGCCCAATCTGCATCGGAGTATCCATTCAGCACTAATCTGTCACTTCTTTGTATCCACAGCCCCTGATTTATAGTTCCTTTCAAATACCTTAATACCCTATTTAATGCCTGCCAATGTGTGGATGTTGGAGATTGCAAGAACTGACTCAACTTGTTCACAGCAAAAGTTATGTCAGGCCTGGTGTGTGTGAGGTATTGCAGTCCTCCTACTGCACTTCTATAAATTGAGGGGTCCTTCATCATTTCTCCATCAGCCTTTGACATGGTTTTACCAGCAAGAATGGGAGTAGGACAAGGTTTCAGATTTTGAAGTTCAAATTTTTTAAGCAGCTCAGCAATATACTTTGTTTGTGTAAGATGAAGTCCTGATTCATGCCACTGTACTTCAAGAAAGTGATGCGGTTGCCCCATATCCTTTAATACAAATCTCTTGTTCAATTCATCTATGAATCTTTGCAGCAATCCTGTGTCATTTCCTGTGACCACTATATCATCCACATAGATAAGTGCAAAAATAATCAGATTTTCATTCTTGAAATAAAGCAGCGATGTATCAGCTATTGTTTGAACTTCCAGCTTATTAGTGTGGTTTTCAATTTGTCATACCAAGCTCTAGGTGCCTGTTTCAGTCCGTAGAGTGCCTTTTCCAGTTTACACACATAAGTTGGTCTTGATTTATCTATGAATCCCTCCGGTTGATTCATATATACTACCTCTTCGAGTTCACCATTTAGAAAGGCATTATTGATATCAACTTGCCTAATTTTCCATCCCTTTGAGACTGCTAATGTGAGAATGATCCTTAAGGTCGATGCTTTAATAACTGGACTGAAAGTTTCATAGAAATCAACTCCAGGAGTTTGGTGAAATCCTTTGGCCACCAGCCTTGCCTTGAACCTCTGAACTGATCCATCTGAATTGTGTTTGATTCTGAAAACCCACTTGTTCCCCACTATATTGTATGCTGGTGATGGGGGTACAAGTTTCCATGTTCTGGTTTTCATTAGTGCATTGAACTCTTCCTCCATAGCTTTCTTCCCGTCTTTGTTCATCAATGCCTTAGTTGCACTTTTGGGTTCTGATGGTTCATAATCACATTCAACTGATTTTCCTAAATAAGCTTTAGGTTTGAACACTCCAGCCTTTGCTCTAGTGATCATAGGATGGTGTATCTGGTTACCTGCTCTTTGCTTGTGTCTCTGTTTTAGCTCACAGCTGGCCGGTTGTCGATTACTGGTGTGATCAACATCACCATCTGATCCAGATCTTTGATTTTTCTGAGGTAGTTCAACTTCTGTTTCCACACATTCCTCATTTGTGTTACTGATTAACCTTTGATTGTTGTTTTCCTCCTCACTACTATCAATACTTTCAAGCTGATTGTCACTTAAGCTGGGAAGTAAGTGATGCATAGTATGAGTTGCTTCAAGATGAGTTGTATCAGCAGGGCTTGAAGTAGGATTTGAATTGTTCAGTTGAGAAAGTGTGACACTACTGTTTCAGTTACACCAGGATTAGGTTGACTTTGAGTAGGAAACAAAGACCAAAATGGAAACTCAAATTCATTGAACACAACATGTCTTGAGATGTATATTTTTCCTGTTGAGCTCAGACATTTGTAACCTTTATGGGACTCACTATAGCCAAGAAAGACACATTTAGTTGAGTGAAAACTGAATTTGTGTGTTTGATATGGTCTAAGACAAGGATAATATGTGCATCCAAAAATCTTTAGTGCCTTGTAATCAGGTTCCTTTCTGTACAAAACTTGGAATGGGGATTGCATTTTGAGTGTAGGTGTAGGCATCATGTTTATGAGATAAGTTGCAGTTTGAAAAGATTCCCACCAATATTTTAGAGGTAGTTTGGCTTGAGCTAATAGGGTAAGTCCTGTCTCAGTTATATGCCTGTGTTTTCTCTCTATCCTACCATTTTGAGCTGATGTGTAGGGACAAGGGTGTCTGAATTCAATTCCAGTTTGTGCTAAAAGGCTTGTGAAGTTTCTATACTCTCCTCCCCAGTCAGATTGAAGAGTTTTTATTTTGCTTCCAAACTTGTGTTCAACTAATTTTCTGAACTGGGTGAAAACGTTTAGCGCTTCAGATTTTTGTCTTAGAGGATATGTCCAGGTAAACCTACTGAAATCATCCAGAAAGCTTATGTAATATCTAAAACCTGATGTTGATTGTATAGGTGCTTGTCTCCACAGGTCTGTGTATATGAGTTCTAAAGGCGCTTTGGCATGTGAAGTGGATAGACAGAATGGTAATAGATGAGATTTTCCAAATTGACAGGCCTCACAAAAAAATTTGATTTCATTGTTCTTCACCTTTTGGTTACATATTTTGAGTACTTGAGATACCACTTGACTAGATGGGTGTCCAAGTCTCTTGTGCCATACATCGGTTTGGGAATTTAAAGACTCTTGATTGGACTCTAGACTAGGACTAACAGGGGAGATAACACAACAGAATTTATTTGAGGAAACTGACTTTTGAGAGTGATACTTGGTGTTTTGTTGAGGGAAGTCCAGTTGATACAACCCTTCCTTAAGCTTCCCTTTGCAGCATCACTTCCTTCGTTTGCTTGTCCTTGACAAAACAGTAATTAGAGTGAAACTCCATGTAAACTTGATTATCAGTTGTTAATTGTGAAACACTGATGAGATTTTTTTTGATCTCAGGAACATGTAGCAATTTATATAGGACAAGTGATTTATCAGTTAAAGTTGGGGTGTGAGTGTTACCAATGTGTGAAATGTGTAACTTATTTCCATTTCCAACCATAATTTTGTCCTTACCAGTGTACACATTGATTGAACCAATGTTTCCCTTTTCAGCAGTGACATGGTTGCTGGCTCCTGTATCTGCCAATCAAGCTGAATCACTCACAGTACTTGGAGATGCAACAAAGGCTATTGGTGAATGACTATAGTTATTTCTCTGATTTGGTGGTGTTCCTGTGTACTGCTCATCATATCTAAAGTTGCAGATGTTAGCCTTATGTCCAATTTTGCCACATACTTGACATATAGGTCTGTCACCATCATTGAAGTTTCCACCTCTGCTTCTACCTCTTCTTCCTCCTCTGAAATTATTGAAGTTTGAGAATCTTCCACCATTTCCTTGCTTGGAGGATCTAGAGTGATAATAGCTGGAGCCTGATCTTTTAGTAAAATTGACTGATGTTTGATCAAGATTGATCCCTGCTATCTCATTCTTGACAGTATGGAGATGTTCCAATCTACTCTCAAAGGTCATAAGTGTTGATTGAAGTTCTCCCCAAGAGATGTAATCTCTACTATTGATTTGAACAACAATTGGTGTATATTCTTCATCCAAACCAGCCAACACCTGAGTGACCAGATCTGAGTGAGGGATAGTTTTCCCAGCGACTTCAAGGTTATCTGCCAGAAGTTTTACTTTGTTGAGGTATTGATCGATGCTCATGGTTCCTCTCCTTGATTTTTGAAGTTCTCCAGTGAGAAATGTTATCCTGGATTTGTTTTGGATGCCATAGCTCTCTTCCACTGCAGTCCACAGTTTGTTGGAGTTGCAGCTGCCCATGACCCTCATAGCTATGTCATGAGTAGAGCCATCCCATTAGTAGCTGATCTGTTGACATCCATTGGTCATATTCAGGATTCTTTTTCATCTCCACTATTATTCATGCATCTCCAGTGGTTTGGGTTCCAATAAATTCTGGAGGACACACCTTTGTCCCCAGAATATATCCTTCCAGATTGTGTCCTCGTATAATTGGAAGGATCATGTTTATCGATTGAAAGCATGCGCTGGTTATAGGATGGAAGTAAATCGAAATCGGGGGGAGAAAAGCTCCATAGCAGAAAATTATCCTTGTCAAGCTTAACAGACAGCATGTGAGTTAGGTAGACACCAGATGGTGAGACATGGTTGCTTCCCTGCACTGGAGGCACCATTGTGCTTGATTCTGATGTTGGTGGAGAGTTGGAATTGATGTTGGCGTTGGCCATTGCTGCTCTGATACCAAGTTAAAAGTGCTGTGAATATTTAATAGTGAATTTCTTATCTATGCATCAGCTTCAGCTGGAAGATTATTTATATATTACAAAGGAATATTCTAGAATACACAGCTGTGATTTGTTCCTATATTCATGGAGGATGTTTGGAATCTATTGTAATCGAAAGAATTCTGGTGAAACAGAAAACTGATATAGCAAGGATAATCAGCTGATGACTGTAGAATGAGTTGGATGCTGAGGTGTATATTAATTCTTAACAGTCCCCAAGACCATAATACAGCTCATGAGTGTGAATGGACTCACTAGAGAAAATGTTGCTAGTCATTTGCTTCTGTACAGGCTCTATTTGAAGCGCATGCAGGGAATTTCGAGTAAAGGTGGTGGTGTTGGTAGAAATAATTCTCCAGTAGCACCAGCGTATTGTTTTAGTGGGACTTTTAAATTAATCATAGGGACGGTGGAGTGGGGGTGAGAAAGGTGGCCATTTTTTTTCAAATTTGGACTCATTAGCACTTTTTAAAATTTTGGGTCTATGGTTGCAATTTTTTTTGTTTAAATAGTAGGGTACTTTGGTCATTTTATGTCAAAAATTGGTAAAATTGACGTTCAATGCAAAAAAATGTGGAAATAGGGGCAAAAATGTCAAAAAATGAAAGGTATGAATGTTTTCCACAATCAACTCGATAGGTAGGGACATTTTGTGCCAATTACCCGACGAATAAATTCCCTTATTTTTTCAATGAGAAGATCAAGTTTCTCTGGTAAATTGTTGTTTGCTATTTTTATTCTTTTTCAGTATATTATAGTGTTTCCATTCAAGAGTTCAAAATATGAGGCTTGTGCAAGGAGGTTTTTGTTAGTTATCTCCGCCGTCAGATAGTTTGGTGTATTACTATTAATCGGAGTTGACTGTATATGTTATGAAGCTGACGTTTCCTTAGGAAAACATGTTTTCTTGTAATTCCAAGTTTCAATTCCTATTGAATATTCCTTATATTTTTAAATGAAGTTCATAAATATTTGCTCGTCATTTGAAAACATGTTAACAAAACATTTGAACATAAATCATCATAAGAGATAAGAAGTGCTAATTAACTGAATGTTAAGAGATGAAATTGAGACTAGGGTTGGACAAAACTCCCGAACCGAACAGAACAGAACTCGACGATTCTTCTCAAGTTAAATACCCGAAAGGTTATTTGAATCAAGAACCGACGGGTATGGTTCGGTTCTCGGTTCTAGGCCAAGACCCGAATAACCGAATTTTCGTAATTTTTTAATTAATTTATTTTAAATAAGTAAAATTATTTTATTTTTCTTAATAAATTTGTTAACTAGTTAATTTAGTTTAAACCACAAAATATGATTTTCATATTTCTAATATTCAGTTCAAAATCGATTTAATCAAATTGACCTCAATTTTATCCAAATCTGTTATTCTACTGTAGTGTCGTTTCTACCGAAAAAATCGAATTAAAACTCTACAACATCTCTCTTAATTATTTTGAGCTTGTTATCTTTCTCTTTCTGTGATTCTAATAATCAAATTTATAAAGAATTCAGCAAAGAGAGGCGTGAAATACATAAGATTGAACTACGTTATTTTGTAAGATCTAATATTAAATATATCATTAATTAAATTAACGTAACTTTGTATATATTAAAAAATTTAATTATAATATGAAACCGAATGGAACCGAATCGGACCGAACCGAACCCGAACGGTTCCGTAATTAAATTTGGACCCGACGGTTCCACTTACTAAATACTCGAAAATTTCGGGTCGGTTCGGTTCTCGTTAGAACTGAACCGAATCGGACCATGTTCAGCCCTTATTGAGACGATAAAGTTAGATACATAAATGCCAAAAATGAGCAAAAATCTGGAACTTTTGTTGAAATTAAAAAATGTAATGTAGTTAATAAACACTGTTATGTGATGTGAGCATAATTACCCATACAAAAACTCTTAACTTTTATTATTCAACAATAAATTAACAACTCGAAATTTCAATAAAGGGCTAACACAAACTTTGGCCAAATATATAAAAGGGGAATTTACCAAAATGTCACTTTTTTTAAAAAATGCATAAAAAACTTTGATGTGCACACAATTTGTACAAAAATGTCTCTTTCTTGTTGTCAAATGTCTAAATTACCCTTAATTTGATCTTTTTTGGAGCATTTAATACTCTTTCATGATTGTTTTTTAAAACAATTAATGTTGTGATTTGATTGTTTAATTTGTATATTATAATCATTGAATATGTGAATATTATATTGTAAAATACGAATTTAGTTAATAAAAAATGAATATAAAATCCTTCAAAACCCTAGTTAATATTAAAAGACAAATTTCTTGTCAAACAAACCCTTATTTCATTCATCTTCTTCATCCATTTTCTTCTTCCTTAAAAAGATATTACTTCATCCATCTTCTTCATCTATCTTGAAAGGTCAGTTATTACGAATTATTTATATTTCTATGTAATAGCTTACTCTTTTTAAAATATTAAAAACAATATGGTAATCACTACTATTAATCATCATGGTCTTTTTTTTTTTTTGAAGGAAAAACATACTAAAAATATTTTGGAAAATGTGAAGTATTCCATATTTAATGAAGTGTTCAGTCATTTATTTCTGAAAATACGTTGTGATGTTGTAGTTGTTGTAGTTGAGAAATGATTATAAGCATTAATGCTACCAAACACATTTGAAGCTTCTCGGCAATTCCGACACTTGAACTGTCGAACTCGACATTTCGAAACTATCGGGATCGACATTTGAACTGTCGTACCCGACATTTATAAACGGTCGGGATAGATAACTAAACTGTCGAATTGGACAGCTGAAAATTCTTGACACCCTTCATTTGACCTTGTAGTATGGCATAGGTTTAAATATTGGATTGTGTCACTTCCATACTATTATGTAGTCGACATTTTAATTGCGCATAATTCTTATGGTTGCAATCCCAACATTTCAGGTATGAACAATAATTTCAGATTCATCGTATCGCACGGGGGAAAGTTTGTTCATGTGAATGACGAATGGAAGAGAACTTTGGACAAAATCACATTCATTTTAGTGCCAAAAGTATTACATTACCGGGGCTATTGTTATGGTTGAACGAGAAACTTGGTATTCTCGATCCGAGCAAAAAAATGGAATTGAAGTTCAAAGTTCCGAACAGGAATATACCGCCAGCCGAAATACTCGAAGATGAAGACCTAAATTAGTACATATCAGTTCATAAGGAAACTGCCCTCTACATTACGACTTTGGAAACCGACCTGCCAAGTGTTGAAATGGAGAGGAATACAAATTACAGCCAACAATTGTTCGCCACAACGGAAGATCACCAAACCGTACAGGACAACGAGCTCAATCATCAGCACAGTGTCCCAAACAATAATGCAGCATATACTTCAATTTTCGATGTTGGGACTGCACCATTAGATGAGATGTTCGATGATCCCTTACATGGTACAAATACTGGTAATATTGCTGACATTGATGAAGAACCATTATCACATTCCAAAAGTCCGGGTACATGCGACTGAATTTCCACTGTGAATATGTCGAATCTTATCGAAAGGGAAATATTTTTTACAAAGAAAGAGTTGGACTCTAGCATTCGTCTACTTTCTTTGCGAGAGAAGTTTCAATTTCAGGTTAGCAGGTCAAGCCTAAAAATGTTAACCGTTGTATGCGCGGACAATAATTGCAAGTGGATGTTACGTGCTTCGAGTGTCAAGCAGACCGCCATCTTCATGATCCGCAAATTCAACAATGTGCACACATATTCCATAGATAATCGTCGTAATGCACATCGACATGCCACTAGTTCCGTAATTGCCGAACAGATTATGGGAAAATTGGATAATACATACGGATCGTATGATCCTACCGCTATTGCACGTGACAAGGAACGTGAGTTTGGTGTAAAAATTAGTTACCATCAAGCACGTAAGGGAAAGGTCGCTGCTTTACATGTGCTACATGGTACACCAGGTGATAGCTTTCAAAAACTTTCTTCCTACTGTCACGTCCTAGGAGAGAGTAACCCAGGGACTGTAACACACATCGAAGTAGATTTTCGTAACAGGTTTCACTACTTTTTCCTAGCTTTCGGTACAAGCATCCGGGGTTACCTGCACTACCTGAGGTTAGTTATTTGTGTTGACGACAGTCACTTGAAAGATCCATACAAAGGTACCCTTCTACTGGCAACTGTCCAAGATGCCAACAAACAGATTTATCCGTTAGCATGGGGGATCGTTGATGCCGAAACAAATAGATCGTGGATGTGGTTTTTATCAAATTTGAAAGATCTTATAGGTGACTAGGACGAATTGTTGTTTGGTTCCGACAGGAAAAATAGTATTGAAAACGCCATTGCCCACCTATTTCCTCGAGCTCACCATGGGTGCTGTGTCTGGCATATGGAAAAGAATTTAATCCAACGGTACAACAACGCAAGTTCAATATTTCTATTCAAAAGAGCCGCAACAACTTACCGAACTGAAGAGTTTGAAAGACTTATGAGACAGTTTCGTAGGGTAAGTGCAAGAGCGTACGGGTACTTGGAGCGAGCAGGTTTTCCATTTTGGTCACGGGTACTATTTTTTGGCCAATGGTACAACATTTTGACCAACGACAATGCAGAATCTTTGAACTCAATGTTGAGACATGCCTGTTCGTTACCGATCACGTGCTTAGTGGAACACATTCGGCATACTATGCAGAAGTGGTTTTATGAACGTCGAGCAAGTGCAACCGTATGCAGTACCGTTCTGTCACCAACGATGGAGAATGAGTTACGGACGATGTTCAAAGTAGGTACTAGGCTGCGAGTGCATGGCTTGACAAATAACTTAACACAAGTTGGAATATCCAATGACACGGACATCGTAGACTTCTCCAAAAACACGTACACTTGTCATGAGTTCCAACTGAATCGTATACCGTGCATTCACGCAACTCGTGCTGCTTGCTTGAGATGTAAGTCATTGTACGATCTCTACTCACAGTATTACACATCCGAGTACTGGAAGGGTGCCTATGGAGAAGCTATATATCCTGTTTTGCGTAAAGTGGACTGGAATGTTCCAGCCAAAATTATAGATACTCCTATTATGCCCCCCAGTGTAAGTCATCCTCCAAGTAGACCACCCACACGACGTAACCGATCCAGACACGAGTGTACCACACGGTTCAGGAGATGCACTCGCTGCGGTGGACTTGGTCATAACCGGACCATATGTTCGAACCACACTGTACCACGTTCAATATAAGCAGCATTTTACACGTGAGTGGTTGAAGTTGTAACTGAAGTGTTCTCCCGATGTCGTTTGTATATGACAATGTAAACATTGTATTACTATTTTCATTCTCTAACGCATAAACACTACTCTTTCTTATGTTCACAATTACAGTACGCAAATAGGCACAACGTACTGCATAACAGCCTCGAACCAAAATACAATTTTGTTGTGCATAACATTGTTGCCATTGTTGACACATGTAAATTGAATGTACGAAATCGAAAACGTTCAACCATTATACATGTTTCCTTTCAAATGCATATTACGAACACATCACTTTTAGCGCATAACACTATCCGCGTTGTTCACAAAGTACGTTGAATGTACACATGATGTTGTGTTCGTTTACCCAAAATACATGTCATATGAATATGCATACTACATACACAGAAAATTTGCCAGTAAACCCCGACAGTTCATCTGTCGTTCCCGACAGATGGTGCATGTCATTCTCGACAGTTGTTCGACACTCCGCTTAACAAAATACAAAATACACATAACTTGCCAACGGGAGTTTCCTACATGCTACAGAATTGGTACATACGTAACAAAATACATCCCTTACAAAAAAGCACTATACATACATACGTAAAAACCCACACACGCAACGAAGACAGACTCTTCAATCGGAGCTAACACTTGAACCTTCTTCCCCGCCGTCACCATCCGAGCTGATGACAATTACCTCGGGCGATGGAACGCGACCCTACCCCTCATCCTTGTGACGTTCAACTTCGTCTGCATCCATAAATGGGACGACCCATTCAAGCACATTTCTCGGAGACTCACCTGCATCACTTGTAACTTTGTCCAGGTTCGGAAAGGGAACGACAGTGATGGTTCTTCTACCACCATTCGAACTCACTTCCTCATCGTCCGAAGAAATTACGATGGGACATAGTAGGGTTGAACCGGGTGTCGGCAAAGAATCCTCAACTGTCAGTGGTGAATTGCTTCCCGTGGACGATGCCATTATTTTCATATGAAGAAACATACTTCAAATATTATGATACGTTCCTGCTACAAGATGCCTCACAAAGAGTCTCATATATCCACTTGAAGAGTGCAAGCCATGCTTTATACTGGAGGTATTTGAGGACATTTAAAGCAATTTAACAACCAACCACCATTTCATTTCTTTTAAAAATCAATCACCATTTCATTTCTACTTAACACTTGATTGACCACTGGTGTGATGGTTTAGTGTGATGGATAAGGGTGTAAGTGTACTTTAATGTAGTCCATAAATGGTGAGAATTGTAAATTGTACCCATGTGCAAGACCTGATGGCCACATTCCTGTAGCTAGATTGACAATCAATTTGGAAGTTAAATTACTTTACTGAATTTTTGTAGTCCTTAATCATAATTGAATACAGTTTTTAAATTCTAAATCATATGAATTGCATTAAAAATTGATAAAATTAATGTCCCTGCCAATGAAGATGAACATTGGGTGACACAACATGCCATTTTTCAATAAACTTTAATTTGTACGAACAAGTTAATTTATACTAAAACGTATGTTTAAATAAACATACACCGGTTGTAATGTTGGGGTCAACGTAGCAAAGATAACAACTAATTATTCATAATACGGTAATGCGAATTTGACAATAATCATTGTCCTTAATCCTTCGACCACACTCCATTACACACAAAATCATGACATACCATGATTCATTTGTATAGGTATAACACCTTCAACTCCAATGAAATTAAAGTACAAAATACATGCTACTTCACCAAGTAGTATGAACATCAATTTAATTAGGGTACAAACAAATGTCATGTCTCAATGTCCGTTCCACTTAACCATATCCCAATATGGAATTTAAGTAATCTCATTACCTCCTTGAGATCATTAACCACATCATATGGAATAGGAGCAATAGTCTCCACGGTTGCACCTTCAGGCATGAACTCAAGTTTGGATCCCTTTGGTTGTTTTTTGGTGCTAATCACAACACTTGTTGATTTAGCCTCATCCTTCATTTTGTTTGTACTCTTCATCATTCTGGAAAAATTCGTCATCACACCACGATGAACGCACATGATGAACTAAAAAATCAACCCTCCGAATGAATTTGCTGCCTACCTGCATCAGATGTCTGCTACAGTGAAATGACACAGTTGAGAATGTTCGTAACTATTCATCCAATCAACGTAAAAACCAAAAAATTTACTCACCCGTGGAGTAGGAAACGTGCATGCGATCTATTCATTTTAGTTGTGATGTTGATTTACCGTTTCACATTTCATGAACAATACATGCATTATTTTGTCAACGTATACACACAAAATAGACTGACAATACCATCACATGCTTGCACTAAACATTTAATATCGCAAAACGATATATACTCTACATAAGACAGTTTAACGTGTAGCATATTTTATGAACAATACATGCATTATTTCGTCAACGCGTACACACAAAATTGACCGGCAATACCATCACATGCTTGCACTAAACATTTATTATCGCAAAACGATATGTACTCTACATAAGACAGTTTAACGTGTAGCATATGGCTGAGCAAATGTATCCGTCCATAAAACAAACCAAATTAAAAGCATGTCCTCGTTACGAACAACGTATCTACTCCTACAACACACCTTACCAAACAACTTGAACTCACTTATTTCTTTACTCTCTTTGCCCTTCCCCTCGTGTATGGAGTCCGGGTAGGTGGTCAGGACGTCGAACATGAGTCGATCGCCGCCTGTTTGTGCTGCCCACATTGCCTCCCTTTTCTAGTACGGTCACCTGTGCCGACAACTCTGTGGCAGTGCCCATATAAACAATTTCCGCATTTTAGTGAAATAGTTATGTGTGAAGGATGCCACATATTCGTGGAATCAAATTATTCAAGGAAAATAGGCACGTACCATCCACCTCCGTGATGTTATGGGTCGATGAGCCTTCCTCGTTCTTGTTGTTGGAGAGGATGGGGACGGTCTCTCCTGGGTCTAGTTGAAAGTAAATTGGGTGAAATGGACAAATAAAAGATATGAATTATCATTTGAGTAGGGGGGAAGTGATTGATAATAGAACCCAAATCACAGAAGTTGGAAAAAATTACGCATGTACCGTTCACCTCCTGGATGTCGCCCTCCTCTGCACGGTCATCTTCCTGTGGGCTCCGTTCCTCTCCACCTTCCTCGTCTACTTGGAAGACAAAGAAAATATTAATGAAGGAGTGAAATTAAATACATATGCATATGATGAGATGACAGAAGTTGAAAAAAATTATGCACGTACCGTTCACCTCCTGCATTTCACCTTCGTCTGCATGGTCGTCGTTGTGTGGGCTCCGTTCATCATTGCCTTCCCCGTCTACTCGAAACATAGAAAAAATTATTGAACGAGTAAAATTGAATTCATTTGCATATCACGAGATGAGATGACATAAAATACAAAAATTACGCACGTACCGTTCACCTCCTGCATTTCCACCTCCTCTGCGTGGTCGTCGTCATGTGGGCTCCCTTCGTCGTTGCCTTCCCCGTCTAGTTGGAAAACCAAAAACAAAATTACTGAAGGAGTGAAATTGAATACAGTTGCATATCACGAGATGAGATGACATCAAATACAAATATGTATTACACATAACTAACCGACATACATTCACCTCCAAGTTCCCGGTAGGTGAAGGACAGTCACAGTCATCTGGGCACAGGTCCATGTCTCCTCCATCTACATCTAAGTAATTTAGCAATTTAAAATATACATTTTTAAGTGAACGCATAGGAAAAATTGCACAGCTCTACAGACATGTTGTAAGTGTAAGTTACAGTAACATAAACTCATACCTTCGTGGGGGTCGTCCCAAATGTTTGGCACATTCACGACTGGAGCTGCAGCGGAAGTGGAGGTGCCACCGGACGGGGACACCAAGTTAGATATGAAGTCCCTCAGTCGGGCAAACTCCTCGATCATGTGCTGAATGATTTTAAGCTTCACGATCCGCAACCTCATCTCGAAGAGGATGCGCTGGTCCAACAACATGCCCTCCACATCGTCCCTCATCACAGTTGGTCCACCACGCGTACCCTGCAACCCAGATGTGGACGGGGTAACCATTGGAGTGAGTAATGCACCCGACTATCGTCCCGAGGCATCCTCGTCATCCTTGATGTCACAGCACCAGTCTCACTGGAGATGTCGCGACCTCTGTCTCCACTGTCATCAGCCTTAGACCCATTGTCCTCGTTGCCCTCCGGTGTCTGATGATCATCGCTCGTCGATGTCTCATCGTCCTCGACCCCTGCACCAGACTCGTCGTCATGCCCGTCACCCGTAGTGCTACCCTCATGTCCCCCACTGGCCGTGCCGCCTCATGGAACTGTGGCCCGACAACACTCCTAGCGAGGTCGTCCAAAAATTGCACCGAACGGTCGGGGAACGGTACTAAACTGACGATGTATGGCAGATCACGCTCGGCCTCTGTGGGACGCAATGTGGCATGCACGTGTAGCTGTACAAACATAGAAAAACAGGTAGTTAAAATATATTGCATTCTATTCACAAGAAAACAAAATAATTGAAAGGCAAATGAAAAATATCCATGACCTGTACGTCCCTGAAGAAGGCATCGTACATACGCTGCTGCGGTTGTTTGGTAGAAGTCCAGTATAGAAGCCGGGGCGATCGTTCACCCACCTGCCCATCGAAGCGTTCACCGAGTTCAGGCACGACCTCATATGCCCAAATCAGTCCGGACGAAAACAAAAAAATTGTCGTATTAATATCCATCCAAAGATTGTGGAGACATGGTCTAATATTGACAAACAAAACACATAAACTTAATGTTGTTCTAACCTGCATGGCGATCGAAAATTCGTGAATTGTGTAACTGACGTCTTTCTCGTTCTTCGTCTTGCATCGCTCATTTTACGTGTTCAAGTACCCCGAAATCCCTTCAACAAACGCTTATACCCCACTTTGGCCCAGTGGTACGAAAAAAT